ACTGCGCAAAAGCGAGTGCCAACCTTATAATAAGGATCCTACTATCTGGGGTACTATATTAGGGTCCCCTACTTTCGGAAACCCCCTAAAGGTACTTACAGGAGTTCGCAGCCAGTCATCCAACTTACTCGGTGGGGCAGCATCCGAATATGATGGTTCCACATGGAATCTTGGAGATCACGGAAAGGAAGGGGAGCTTAATGGGTGGTTGTCAAAATTATGGTCCCTCTTTCGGGTCCTTATTATAATACGGCACCTATTATTTGGGGTACCCCCAAAAGGGACCATAATTTTGACAACTACCTTAATGTTAAGAAAGGCCGCAGTAACCTGACTCAATGTGGCAGGCTGAAGCTTTGGTCTCACAAACACTGTGCACGGGTCAAGACGTCCTTTTCCGGTATGTGTTCGAACACTTCTGGTGGACGATATGGCGGGCTTGGTGGGGGTGGGGAATCGGAGTGCAACTAGATGAACTTATTATCCTAGTTTCAGTAAGGTCATCACATTGCTTGAGACCTGTCGCAAGTAGATTTCCAGGTGAACTATTGACAACCTCGGCCAGAATCTTCATCACAATTCTTAGGTTTCGGTTATTTTATTTACAGTGAAGCAAAGGGTATCCTACTTTCATGCGGAACACTATGGACAGACTGATGAGCTCCCACAAATGGTTCTGAAGCTTGCTGGTGGAACTCTGGTTCATGCAGCCTCGGCAAGCACACCGCTTGGTAGAGGTTCATTAGTGTGGTTGTCAAAATTATGGTCCCTTTTTGGGTCCTTATTATAATACGGCACCTATTATTTAGGGTACCCCAAAAGGGACCATAATTTTGACAACCACCCAGTTGGCGGCAGTGGTCTCAGATGTCTGTCCTCGCAAGCAGGACAGAAGCCGTCCTGGTACTCGAAAAGAAGTGCCTCGTTGATATGCTTGCTACACATAAACCTCAGAAGGAGCATTGCTGCCCTTTTCTTGCTGGCTCCAGCTTAGAGCCTGGGTCCTTGATCACGGATCTTCTCATAGGCTGACGCCAAGTCCAAGTGAAACGCAATCACTGTAATCCTTCCTTTGGTATCCTGTCTGGTGCCATGATTCCGGTTGCTATGCCTCCGAGGGCAGTGACCTGTCTCAGGAAGTTGGCATGGACGTGGGAATCGCACAGCTCTATTCTGGTTGTCATCAATTCATCTGCAGGGTGCGCTGCTTTTGCGATCGAGGTCACTCCAAAATCAGTTGCCACCAGGAAGAGCCTCAAAGTGGCAACGCATGGAGGCTGGATGGGGCCACAGTGTGCAACAATGCACGACGTACGTTTCTTTCTTGCTTACTCTTCGATAGCGCCCAGAGTCATGGGCTCGGAACCGAGTGACCGGAAGCAGACTATACTATGTACTATACCATAATATACTATAATGTACTATAAAGTATACTGTATATATATATATATGCATACTACTCTAATGGTTGTATTCCTAGCGCCGACCGTTTTTTTTAGGCGAGTTCGTTGTCCACGCTCTCGCCTCCGAGCCCCTCCAGCTGCGTCAGAACGCGAAGAGCAGGTGATCTTGACCTCGAAGAGTTTATTCTTGCGACGGCTTCGATGCCGGTGGCCTCACTCAGAGGCAGGCTGTGTTCCGGAGATGTTGGCATGTGATGTGTTATGCTCCGGAAGGGGGCAAAGATGGCCGCACGGGGCTGCCACCCTGCCGCGGCGCCCACATGAAAAGTGGCCTGGCGCTTTACTCGCAATCTTCTGTCCTGGCCTCGTGTTATCTGGATGTTCAGGTGCCGACCCAGAGGAAATGACCTCAAGCAAGAATCTGGGTCGGTACGCGACTCCTTCATGTGGAGTCAGCAAGACCAAGAGTTGCTCGGCCCGTAGTGTGCAAAGTGGTCCACTGGCATGGTGCATGATGCAAGCTGGAGCTATGAGGTTGCAAACTGCGAAGTTAGCCAAGGCACAGGCTCGCAAACGCCTCGGCGACACTCCGAAGCTCCCAAACCCACAGGCAGCAGAGTAAGTGGTGGCTGGCGCCAGGTTGGTCCTTGGATGTCCTTGGGGTGTGAGGTGGTTCCGAGGTTGAAGGGTCTAGGTCCAGGTAGCCACAGCCGGCAGACGGAGCAGGATGCAACTTCGCCTGGCTGTCCATGCGGTCTTTGAGGTCTGCCATTTTGCTCACACTCATCTGAGCATGGCTCGGGATCAGTCGGTTCTCGCCGCAGCATCGGTCCAACTTGGCGAACTTGACTTCTTACAGCACCGAAAGCAGCTGTGGCCAGTGATGTGTCTCGGGAAGGGCAGGGGAAACAGAAAAACACATGCCAACTCGACAGCAACACCAGAATCTGAATAATTTTAACAACAAGCAAGACAAGAGAAACAACGTCTGTCGATCACGCAGCATGCTAAAACTATGTATTCTATTTACTCTAGAGATTGTATATTACCTATTGGACCTGTTGTATGTAGTATATTTATATAGTTTACGGTATTTTGCGTAGTTTTGCAGAGGTTGAGAAAATATGACTGCAACTGTCGGACCCCGGGAGCTCCAGGCTTATGGCTCCCCCTTGAAAACCCAGAAAGGAGGGGTACGGCGTCTAGGCGTCCGTATCAGAAGTAAGTATCCCACTGTTTAGAGTATGTATATATATATATATGTATTTATATATGTATTTATTTATGTATTTATATACGTATTTACATATGCCTTAATATGTGTGTGTGTACGTATGTACATGTATGTATGCATGTATGTATGTATGTATGTATGTATGTATGTATGTACCTCGATCTTTTGTCTGCCTACGTATGTATGATTATGTATGTACGGACACACACACACACAGACATATATATATATATATATACGTGTATACGTGTATATATATATATACACACACATATGCTCCATGCATGTATATGTACACAAGTGTACACATACTTACTACGTCCCCATTTTCTCCATCTCCCATGAGTCTTGCTTCAAGGTTCAGTGAGGTCCATCGAGTTTTCGACAAGGGCAAGGGCATGTTTCAAGAAAAGCTTGACCGCATCTGCGATCCGAGAAAACTCTCTTGCAATGCGGATGCAGCTCAGTTCTTAGGTGTGGGTAACTCCTCTGCAGCCGGCATGATGTGGGACCCCTGCTTCACGAAACTCCCATATTGGCAGGTCTGTCTCCTTCGCCGCCCACTTCACCACACAGCTGCTTTGCTGAGAGAGCCAGGTAGCACGGAGGTGGAGCCAGCAGTGTATCTCTGCATGTATCAATGTATCGAGTATAAGAATGAAGCATTGCATCTTTCTCCAGACCTAAACGGCCTGGACGTACACCGTCGAGTTTGTCGACACTTCCATATCGAGCCTGTTCCCTAGGTGGACGACCTCGAGGATCAGTAAAAAGGTCGCCACGACCCTGGCTTTCAGGATCCCTAGTTCCGGCACTCTTTGCTCCCGCTGGCAAGGCCGAAAGCAGCGGAAGTCAAGAACCTCAGTACAGAGAAGCTAGGGGTCATTCTCCGAAGACGGAGAGGCCCAGGGCTTGTGAGAGGCTAAGTTTAAGGCTGATCCTCAGTTCCACAGTTCGGTGATGCGTCCGTTCTGACTCCTGTTGCTTACCGCTTGCGAGCGAAGATGACTTGGCAGACCCTCTGGATCCATCCGATGGAGATCAAGATGACGATGAGGAGGACCAGCATGATGTGGAAGAGCAGCCCAGTGACTCGTCCCTGCGTCTGTTGAGTCTTTCTTTGTCAGTCCGGCGACCTTGGGATGGCGATGACCAAAGCCAAGACGGACATGCCAAGGCTCACGGCTAGTAATAATTAATAATAATAATAATAATAATAATAATCCGTTGGGGAAGTTCGGCACTGCCAGCCTAAGACGGAACCAACGACGTTCCAGGTCGTTTCACAATGATGACCTGCCGGAGGTAGAGGCACCGAAAATGATGGTTCCTGTTTCGCAAGCACCAGCTCTGCAAAGCGCAAGACCCAAGCGTTTCAGATGTTACTGTATCAACACTGGTACGTTACCTAGTTGCTGTACAAATGGTCAATGTCAATGTAGCACCGGTCGCCCAGTAATACCACAGGATTGCAACGGTTTGTGGCTCTCAGCTGTCAGGTAAGAAAGATGCCGAGCAAGCAGGAGCAGCTGGTTTCCAGGCTGCTCGACGAGCAGGAGGCAAAGCAGATTGAGTCGATGCTTCGAGTTCAGGAGTGGGATTGCCACGTGGCTAACGGGCTGTTTTGGGGATTGTGCAGGTTGCTATGAGTCGAACAGACGGCTGCGCGCTTGGAGGCATGGCGATGCATGCTGTGTGTGTAGTTGAGCTCGGGGCTGGTAGTCCGGTCGAGGCACCCGTGACCAGAAGAACAAGAAGAGGCTAGATGGGCGCCGCAGGTCACGGGAATTGCAGGCACTCTTCTTTTCATTCGCAACTGCATGTTTGAGCGGAGAGTATGTCGCGGAGGCCCTCTTAAACTCCATGGAAAACCAAGATGGAACGACGGCCGTGGGGGATGAAGTGCCTCATTACGCCGGCGGCTGAGATCACCTGCTTGTCCGGGGATGTCCGACGGAGTCACCGAGGAGCAGTTGCATCCACCAGTTGTTCTTTTTCGTTAACATAGTCTTGATTTTGTCATTTTTGTCCCTGCCTCTACTGCTGGTGGTCCTTCCAGTGATAACTCCGTTTTTGCTGTCTTGGTGCTACTTTCGCTGCGCTGCTGCCGCTGCCGCTGCTGCTGTGGCTGCTTCTTCCGCTGCTGCTGCTGCTCCTCCTGCTGGTGCCGGTGCTGCTGCTGGTTTTGGTGGTGAAGTGGGGGTGGTGTCGCTGTTGCTGTCATCGCCGTTGCTCATTTGTCGTGGTCGTCGCGGCTGTCGTAGCTGTGGTTGTGGTTGCGATGTCGCTGTCGTTGTCGTTGTTGTTGTGGTTGCGGTTGCAGTTGTTGTTGTTGTTGTTGTTGTTGTTGCGGTGCCAACACCACCATCACAGCAACAACCACTGCCACCGCAAAAGCAACCACCACCACCACCACCACAAACACCAAGCGACAACCACAAACAACAAATAGCGACCAGGAAACAAGCATCAATAACCAAGAACCAACAACAACTAAAGCAGCAGCAACACAACAGCAACACAACAGCACCGGCACCAGCTCAAGCAGCAGCAGCAGTAGCAGCAGCAGCAGCAGCAGCAGCAGCAGCAGCAGCAATAGCAGCAGCCAACAGCAACAGCCAACAGCAACAGCCAACAGCAACAGCAACAGCAACAGCAACAGCAACAGCAACAGCAAGAATAACAGCAAGAACGACAACAACATCCACAACGACCTCAACGATCACAATGACCACTAGCGCCAGCACCACCCACGACGACAAGGACGACAACAACAGCAATGACGACAACAACATCACCTACTAGTACACGTAGCTGGTCGAATCTTGGAGGCTAGGAACGGCAGCTAACAGCACTCATCACACGAATGATTTATCAAATTAAAAACCGGTGATAGTGATTCCAAGACAAACTCGAGTGATTTGCTTGGTTCCGTTCAGCGTGAGCCCACAATGGAACTATAGAACATATAGTGCACCAACATTCGCAAAGTACATAGTACAGTTTATATATTTATATAGTATTAGTACATCGTATAACGTATATAGTATGTAGTATATGGTATCTGGTGTGTGGTGTCTGGTGTATGGTGTATGGTATATGGTATGTAGTATCGAGTATAGAGTAGGTAGTACATCGTATATGGTAGCCAGGATTCGGGAATGGACCATGTGCAGAACAAGGAGGATAATTATTGGAGTGCGATGTGGCAGATGACGAAAGATATGCCCCGAGCTGAGTTTGAGGCAGCGCATTCTTGTCCTATGCAATGGTGATCATCTAGCTCTAACACTTAGGACCAGGACTAAACTAGACTCTGCTGTACAGTTGTTGCAAGGATGAATGACGATCCCAAGGAGGCTCCCGATGAGCAGAGTCGTTGGGCGCATTCGGATGGCCGTGGCAGTGCGCCAGGACGAGCAATTGCCGACAATTCAGATCTCAGAACCTCGCCTCGAGATCCTGGCAGGGCCACCTGCCAGCACCCGGATGCCTGTCGCAGGGCGCGGACAGACCATGAAAGAACTTTGACGAGCGTTTTGCCTGGCATGTTGTATCGGCAGCAGACTTGGAGACCATAATTCCTCGGTCATGGCCTCGAAGCACCTCGCATTTCTTACTTGCACCAACCTTTGAACACTCCTGAGCAGATTGAGAAGAAGAGCATTTGAGAAACGATCCTCCAGACCTAAGAGGAGCATTCGTTGTGCGAAGATCCCAGCTTTGGAACTATGACTTAGCACTCTTTCTTTCTCATGTGCGGCATCGTGCGAGAGCCATCTCCAAACCACTGGTCCATCGATATTTCATAAAGGATTCAGAGTGTCGTTGCGGACAAATCACTATGTAAGTACCTTCGTCTTGAATCGCCAGAACGAGGCTCTAGCGCTCCAAAGCGGCGAGTTCCTCCGTCCTTCGCAGTGACTCTACCTTGCCGGTTTTTCCTTGCGGGCACATTTAAAAGGCCTGCCAAAAGTACTTTATCCACGGCCCATGCCCGGCGGAATTGCTGGCGGCCTGTGGCAAATTTTGAAGTAACTATAACACACACACACACACACGGACCGGTGGCGGTGAGTGTGTACGTAGTGTGCAGTGACTCAGCTGCAACGGTGCGCATTGGCTTACGACCTTTGTTTACGGTGATTCCAAATTTTCCAGATTCCAATATTCCGTATTGTAACGTCTGCCGTCTGCGTGTCGCGACGTCTCAACATTGAAAAGGTCATAATGCAACCAAACCACCGGCCTGAGAATGCCGATTCCTGGCTGCAGAGGCCACCACCATAATTTCTCTTTAACAGCAATGCGGTATCTGCCCGTGTTGTGTAGCAGTCGCAGGCAACCCACCGGCAATCCGGTTCTTGCATCTGGGACATGCGATCATTGTGTTGATTCTTTTCTGTGGCCTGCCCCAAGGGCAGAGACATGCCGCCCGCCGGCTTGGCTTAGAAGATGTTTCTTTCCATCAGCCTGGTTTTGTCAAGCAGGGTAACGGGCAACGGCTGTTCCGTGCATCTAGCTCGTGTGCTGCGCTCACTTCGCCACGCTGGACCAGAGAGAAGTTAGTGGGGTCACACGATCTCCGTTCTGGCATTTGTTGGTAACGCTCCTGCTGTCATCTTGCTGCGCCCCCAGAGGCGGCGTTTGCAAATGTCAGGTTCAATCTATCTACACCGTTCTGGATGTGTTTTTTTTTCGAGGTGTCGTTGTCATGTCAGCACCAGAAGAGGACGAGGACTTGCAACAGCACTGTTGCGCCTGCACTATCAGGATTCGCTCATGTTGAGTCTAGGTGATTGCCCTGAATTGAAAGGAAGTCGCCCAAGACGTTGAGGAGGAAGAGGTCCGGTGACTTGCATAGGGACTCATGTTATGTCATAAATAAATAAATGAACATATATATCTATACACACCAATGAGTGTGTGTATACATCTATGTATACATACATACATACAT